TTAAAAGGTAATTTACAGAGAAGAGGAGATGCTGATCCTGTGAGTGGACAGGATTGAGAGGGACGGTGAACATTAGTAACAGGTTCCTGACCAGGCTTCTCTGTTTGCAGGTGTCCAGTGTGAGGTGCGGCTGGTGGAGTCTGGGGGAGGCTTGGTGCCGCCTGGGGGATCCCTGACCCTCTCCTGTGCAGCCTCTGGATTCACCTTCAGTAACTATGGCATGCACTGGGTCCGCCAGGCTCCAGGGAAGGGGCTGGAGTGGGTGGCAGGTATATGGTATGATGGAAGTGGTAAATACTACCCAGACTCCGTGAAGGGCCGATTCGCCATCTCCAGAGACAATTCCAAGAACACCGTGTCCCTGCAAATGAACAGTCTGAGGTCTGAGGACACGGCCACGTATTACTGTGCAAGAGACACACAGTGAGGGGACTTCAGTGTGAGCCCAGACTCAAACCGCCCTGCAACGGCGCTCAAGGCCAGCAGGGGGCGACAGAGAACCATGGATCTCGGTCACCCTTGAGCAGGTGACAGGGCAGAAAGCCTGGACTCTTCAAGGACTGCCTGTCTTACCACAGAAAAGTTTTCTCACCGAACTTGTCTTGAAGTATGGTGTTACTAACATTCGAAGTAACCAAATATCTTTTAAGTTCTGTTATCTGCTGTGCTGTGTATGTTTAAATACAGGATGCACTCTGACCTAACAACATGCAGAGCATCACATGGGGCAGAAGTGACTCTGTAGAGGCCCCAGGATCAAATCCTGAGGATTTTCAAGAGTGTCCTGGTGCTCAGGGCACAAGCTCAGTGAGGGGAGAGGGTGTTACAGGAGTGTTTAGGGTTCAGGTTTGGGCAATAGGTAGAATTGGGAGACAGTGGAGAGTTGGCTGGGTTTTCCATCAGTGACACAAAACAGGATGGAAACTTCGGGGAGAAGCTCTGGGATTCAGGCCAGGGGAACTGTGAAACCTGAGATCACAGCCATAGGAAGTGGGTTCCAGGGAAGCACAGGATCGAAACTTTTATTAGAAACCAGACTTTTAACTATGTCATTGGCAGCTTCTAACTCCAGGCACACTGTCTGCAAACCATAATTTCCAGCATCCGCCTAATTGTGCCATTCCTAACCTCTGTGCTATACGACAGAACAGTTTCCAATTCATAAGGAAGGGTTAAATACTGAGAGATTATCCTCCAGGAATTTATGGATGTCTATCCTTCAGCAGAGACACTGAGAAGAGGACGCCCGGTCCTTATCCTCACTGTCATTTTCTCCTGTGGAAGAGCAGAGGCTGACCAGCAGGACGCTGTGCAGGAGACTGGAGCTCACACTGGGCTCCTCAGATCTGCAGAGCCCCACAGTCAGGATGATTTCCCACATGGAGGACCCACAGCTGTCCCACAGCAGTGAATGACTGATGCTCAGGTCTAACTGTGGGATCAGATGGGGACACGTGTTACCTGTCACAGCTGCCTGCACACGGTGCTCATGTCCTCAGAACATAGGGGAGGCTCATTCACCCTTTCCTCACACTGCGATGTCGTCATCTTCAGGTGGTTGGTTAGAGCAATGAGTTACCACTTAGAACTCCTGAGAGCCTTACATTCAATGGAGGGAAATAAAATTCTAGAAAAAAGTACGTAGCTCAGAAAACACTGCCGTGATCCTTTCAGTATTTGGGGTACACTACAGAACTCACGACACTCTTGTTTTAGCTCTTTTGCTCATGTATTTGATACTAACAGTGTTTAATGCAATTGCTGCATGTATTGGCAGTCATTTCCACAGAAAGCGTGATGAAATCACACAGCCCAAGACTCTGGGACCGAGTCTCCCAGATGCCAGCTGAGGATACAGATCCTTTTCTCTTCCCCCTCTCATTTCTTCGTGTGGTTTGATTTGGCCCCTTTTCCTCCAACTTCTTGAGTTGGTATCTAGAACACTGATAACCTAGAGTTTCTTTTATCTGCTGTGTATTACAGTCAGTCATAAGTGCTGGGCATCAAAGAATGGAAACTCAGAGGGGCTGGTGTTTATCAAGTTCTCGTTGAAGTATTCTCTTCTGTAAAAAACTTTACATTTAAAAAGATGGGAGCTCTAGGAACATAACTCTAGGTTACATGGTTGTCTACCATGTGTGAGGCCCAGAGTTCTATTCCCAGCACCACACGTGCCAAAAACAAAATGATGAATTTTGCTAAAACAATAATAAATTGTCTCCCATCCATGGAACTAAAACATCCAATCCCACTGACTGATTTTTCTTCCTTTGGAGATCGCACAGTAGCCTCTAGATGTTTAAGAACTAGTCTTCAGGGACAAAGATTCCAGGACAATTCTACCTCCATTGCTCCAACTCCTGTGTCTAAAGTATGTCCTGTCTTCAAAGACAGGGCCTAACCTACAAGTTCTGGGAGGTAATCATGGGCTATGGCAAGAGACAGGGTGACAGAGGTCCACGAGTGGTCACACACAGAGAATATATGTCTGAGAGGTCCCTAGCCCTAAGTGATACATCTGCAGTGGAACCTATACAACTGAGGCTCATGGAACATAGTGGAACATGGAATAGAGAAAATATTAACACATCCCACAACTCTCACCAGTGAACTTTTCTCATACAACTGAGTGTGGTGAGCACAGAAGGCCACAATTGCACAAGGTGTAGACAGTAAGAGCCTGAAAACTACATGTCCCTGACTAGGACTCCTATATTAAACCTCACCTGCTCATGGTCAGGGACATGGCGAAGAGGGTGCAGAAAGATTGTAAGAATCAGGGTCAGTGCGTGAACATAAGGAAACAGAAGCATTCAGGCCTCTGGGAACTTCCTCATATAAACTTGCAGCAATCGTGACAGCATGCACAAGACCATGCTGACTCAGCCAGACAAAAACCCAGCATAGACCTAGGGAAATGGGCAGCAGGCCCGACCTTAACTGAGGAAGTGATTGCAGCTGATTACTGTAGGATGAGGCAGAGTAGATCTTCTTTAAGGGGGCAACTCTAGATTGGCTGACAAACACCAGTGGGTGAACCTGCACAGAGGGACATCTGGGTACAAATGCTTGACCTGATAGGCCTTAACATACATGACAGAATGCAGCCACCAGCTGCCCTAGACCAGCATCTTTCCTGGGCCCAGCTCCCAGGC